ACAACACATTCCTGCTCCCCCTCTCTCCCTACCTCTCCTTGCCACCCCCAAACCTCCAACTATTCCCAAAAAGGCAGCATAGTGTCAGTGAAGGAATCCTGGGCCAGCAAGCCATGCCCAACTCACCAAAACCTGTCTAGCCTGAGCAATGCCCCAGAACATTCCCTTGCCCTTCCAACCCCACCCCAGTGGAGATCAAGGTGGTGAAGAACCAGATGCAGGCTAGGCCAGGGGAAGGGCCTGGCTTATCATTCAACCAGTCAGAGGAGACAGCTCATATGGAGGAAGAGCAGTATCTCCCCATCTCCTGTAGTAATCTCGAGGCTCTGACTTTGACCATCACCCAAAATGAGCCATTGGCTGCTCCAGTTAGCTTGTGCTCGACAGCATCTCCGGCCCCATGTCTGTCAAAGCCATGAGGGTTGCTGGGAGAGGAGTGGAGGGGCATTCAATTCATGCCTGGCTTTCCCAGCTCCATGGCAAGAGCAAACCTTGCCATACAAAGGCCCTGTTTCCAACCCTAGCTGAGATGGGCACCACACAGACAGGGCAAGAGGCACCCCAGGGATGGCAGAGAAAACAAGAGGAAAAAAACACCCTCTGCAAAGTACTTTGGGTGCCTCCAAGATCTCAATAAATAGCTAGACTTTGCAGTTCTACCAAGCACTGGTACCAGTGAGGCTTTCACTTGCACTAACCAGCATCTTGTAGTCAATCTGCTGCCGGATAAGCTTGTCTTCACTGAGGGAGTAGCGAGCCTCTCCTGTGATGGCATCAATGGGTCCCTTCTCCATCTGCTGCTTGATGGCACAGTAGAGCATGAAAAGTGGTTCTCCAGCACACTCCTGTAGGATGGGGAATGGCGGAGAGGGAGAGAGAGGTGAGAAGGTGCCAGGCACCAGCTTTCATTTCAAGAACCACCACTGTGTTAGGAACCTGCTGTGGCCCTGCAGCCATACATGGCTTTATGAAGAGTCTCCAGCCCTTGCTCAAGACTGCAAGGAATGTGGCACATGGTAAAATTAATCCCATGAAGGAACTCATTCTCTCCTTCCAAGCCTGCTGGAGGTTGTTCCCTTGTCTATCAAGCCCTAGTCTTAGCTTCCCAGAGTTTGCAGATACTCCCTGGTGAATTCTGCTCTTTCTACAGGCCAAAAATAAGCTAAAAATGTTAAATTTGGGGCTAGTAAAGAGCAGGTTGCGTCCGGGAACTTTGTGTATGGGATATAGCCTATCTTTTAAGCTAGCCCAGCCAAGAGAAGCACATGAGGACTGGAAATGGCACGCTGCAGTGGGACAGCCTGGGGGCTCTTGCTCAGGAATCATGATGTAGTTCTGGCATCTGCCAGAAGCCCAATCTCACAGGAGAGAAGATTAAAGGAAGTTTCTCCACATGACAGCTGGGCACAGCTAGCCAGACCCACTGGGAAGGAAGAGCAAGACAGCAACTCGCTGACAACCTTACCCTGAGCCTCCAGCTGATGGGCAGGACCAGACAATGAGGTTTCCTGCAGTTAAGCCATTTGCCATCTACACGCCCCCACTGCCAAACCTGTCAGCCAGTTTTAGCCACCAGCCAGAGCCACATCAGCATCTATTTCATAGACGGGAAGAAGAGAAAGGGAAACTAGAACAGAGATTTCTCCCAAAGATGCTGGAATGGCAGCAACTCATGAACAGCCAAGGTTGAGGCATCAACTAGCCTGAAGCCATGAGCTGGTGTAGCTGGGCTGGAATTGGACATTCCTCTGTCACCCAGGGCCCCAAACCTATTCCCAAAGCTGCAGCCCAATGAGCCCTTCCAGATACAGGCATTATCCTCAGGGGAGAGAAAAGGGTATGATGGGAGCAGAGAGGATGGGGAGAAGTCCCAGCAGATCTTACCCCACCAGCCCTCTCCCTTCCCTCCCAGCCCCCTCACAAATAAATTGTACTTTGGTGCAAAGTGCGGCTGCTCTCCCTGTCACCATATGCTGTTAGCATCTCGTTAGCATCTGTGGTAATTAAAGAGACAGCTGCTAACGAGCAGGAACAGGCATACATCATCCCCAGACCTTCCGACAACACGCCTGTCTTTGAAATTATGTTTCATTTGCAAACTTGGCTTCATTAAGTCAGCTTGGAAAAGGGAGAGACTCAGGGGTGGGTGCTGGACCGCACCATCTGTGGTGCAGGGCCGGGACCCCCGGCACCCCCAGCACCCCCCTCAGCAGGACTCCAGCTGCTTCTTTCGGTTGCTTGTAAAAACTCCTCGTAAAGCTCCCAAGCCTGCGGGAGCGGAGTGGATGGAGGAGAGCCTGGAGCAGGGCTCCTGCTCCCATCTGGTGCAGCTGCTCCCGTCTCAGCCCACAGATTTCCCCTCTCCAGCGAGGTAGGGTTGCTGTCCCCTCTGCAGCTCTGTGCCCACCTCTGGGGACCCCACCGAGAGAGGTGGCTGCAACCCTTCCCACTCTGGTGGCCCCAGTGCACACCAGGGACCTCCCTCTGCTCTTCACGTTCCTGCCAGGCTGATGGGAATAAATCTCTTATTGGACACATGGACTAGAGCTGGTCCTATGGCCTCCTCAGAGGGATGGAGGCACCAGTGGTGCAGGTGATGACTACATCACTCCTCCAGCACCATGCAGGCTTCTGGAGGCTACTGCATGCCCATCCTCTTCTCCTTCCATCCTGTTAGGCACCCTAATGCCCACTGAAACAGCCCTTCTGCCACATTTCCCTGACTGCAGACCCTTCAAATTGCAACTTGGCTTCCCTGCCTGTTCCACCTGTATCCTACCCTTAAAATCCAAAACCAACTCACTATCCCCACAGGATCTTGAGGACCAGGGCCGAGATGCTGCCATGGTCCACAGCTCATTGAGCCACAATATCTGAGGACGGTTTAGGGCTCATCCCTGATAGAGACTGAGAAAACAAACGGGGACTACAGAAACGGGTGCCAGCAACTGCCCTGAGATGATCTCCATCAAGTGAGACACAGGAGGGGACCGCCGAGATGGGGCTGGGCAGCCCCCCTGGTTGGTGGGAGTCAGCCTGCTCCCCAAACGCAGCCGTGCCCACGCCACCAGCCCGGGCACAGCTGCAAACACCCCCCAGCGCGCAGGCGTCGGCCGCGGGGAACAGGCTGAGGCAAGGCAGCTACCGCTCCGACCGTCTGATTGACTAGATCTAGCTCATCAGGCACCTAATATCGTGCATTTTTCAGCACTTGTCTCCATTTATCCCTCTCCCTTTCCCCGGGGTGCCTCATTAAGAGTCTGATAAATGCTACTCCAGGGTCCTGATGAAAGCGCCAGCCCTCGCTGGCTCCCCACGCTGCTGGCCCTGGGCAGGGGGCCTGTCCTGCCCCCGGCCCACCCCTTGCCCAGGTGGTACTGAGCACCCAGCCCTGCCCTGGGCAGGTTTGCCGAGAGCCGGCCTGGCAGCTGGGCACACATCTCCTGCCTCATTTACATGCATGATTACCGCAGTTTGGTGCCGTTTCCCTGCTGGCAAACTGTCTGCTGTGATACCTCTCCACATTCTCCACGGGTTGCTCCTGCTCCTGATGCCACCTGTGATCCTCACTGCTGGGAGACAGGCAGAAACGGCCCCATGGCTCCCCTCTGCTGGGACCAACCCAGGCGAGGCCAGGAGCACATCCTCAAGTCTCTTCCAGTCTAACTCAAGTGACTCAAGTGACAGAGTTTCAATCACTTCCCCGAGGTGATCCCCAGCATAACACATCTCACAGCCAGTGGGTTTATCCAGGCCCTCTGCATATGCCCCTCCTGCAATGGGGCATCTAGAACAGACTTCTCTGTTCTGCTGCTACCACCCAGAGACTGGAGGCATTTTCCCCCACCTAAGCCATGGTGTGGCCAAGGACTTGGAAAAAAAGGCATTGTCCTGGTCCCACCCCCACATCTCTCTCCTGCTACTCCTCACCCTCAGACCTGCCCCACACCGGCAATGCACCCAGTAGCCTCTCCAAGCGGGGACAGGGCTGTGCAAGGACAGACGCAGGACAGTGGTGGCACATGAGCTGATTCAAAGCAGTTTCTGAAGAAGGTGACCATGTCCCTGTCAACCACTCATGTGACCCAGCCAAGGGCATCAAGTCATGGACACAAACACAATGTCCCCAGATGCTACCGTGGACATTTGAAGGCTGTGCACTGCATTCTGCTCAAGTGTAACCTTGTCCACATCAAGAAGCCCTGAGGGAGTTTATCCACAGTGAGAGCTACTCCTGCCTGTCCCACCAATGCCGCAGAGCACGAAGAGATGTCTGCTGGTGTCCTACTTGATCCCACCGGGTCCTGCTGCTGCAGGGCTGGAGGCCAGTCCCACTGAGCAGAGCCCCAGCCCGAAGAAGCAGCAGGAGGTTGGACATCTCCCTGCAAAGAGCACAGTTTTCCTCCCCTCCCGCTCCTGGCAAGCCATCTCCACGGCACGCCACAGCTAGATTGTTATAGATACAGGGTATCCCTCGACAGAGGCAAAGAGCCAAGTGCATGTAAGTGATATTATAAATCACCTCTAGTTGACGATCACTTGAGTTCTGTACAGACTCCTGCTCGCTCTCATCTCTTGGCTGGAAACGGTTCAAACTCTCTTTATCTTAATGAGGGATGAAATCCCACCAAAGCAGCTGCATGGGCCCCAGAAAGGGCTCTACTGCCTGAGCAGGGAACAGCAGGACCACGGGCACCACGCACCCCGCTGCCGTCCCCTCCGGGCAGCAGCAGGACCAGGCTGGGGCTTCAGGGGCTGGGGCTGGGTGACCCGCACGGCCCGTGGGTGGCTCTGGCAGCTGGAAGCACCCGTGCTGATGGAGTAAATGTTCTCCACACAGGCTGGATGAACAAGTGGTAGAAACAGCCCTGACGCTTCGGCATCCTCTTCTGCTACCCCAAGGAAATTGGGAAAATGCTAATGGGCTTCATAGCCTTGTGCACACATGGTGAATGTCTGTGTCCCTGGCTGCCAGCAGGCCCCATGGGCTGCCCATCCTCTTTTGGAAGGGAGGCAGCAGCAGAAGTGGAGATGCCAGAGGGAAATTATTTTCCTATTGTGGACCATCAGTGTCACAGAGATGAAGGGAAAGCAACAGCATTCCATGAAGAGCGCAGCATATCAAACTACAGCTTGAACAGGTAGGACTACTCTCCAATCAGTGCCTTATCTACAGAAGGAGTAGTTCCCAGGGCTTTTTCCTCCCAATTACGTAAGCAAAGGCAAGGAGGGAGGAATAGGGACCACTCCAAAGGGATTTAACACTCAGCTGAGTTGCTTCAGATTTATCCTTTCTTCAGGCATCGTTTTTAAGAAGATCTCAAACCCACTACACATTAAGCAATCCCAGTCTGGATTTCATTTCTGTCTCAGCTATTTCCCCAAAAGGAGACCCAGAATCACTCACCACATCTCAGAAACCCAAGCTGAGAACAGAGGCTTAGGAAGTGATCTTTGCTCCAGGAGGGAGCTGTAGCACTCAGGAGCACGTCAGTCCAGGCTTTGGGCACCATGCTGACCAACACAGTGAGGCAGGAACCACCTCCCTGCCCACGCATTGCTATCCCTTCCCAAACTCACCTTCAGAAACTTGTACAGCAGAAACGTGAACCAATTTGTCAGCATCTTCTCTGCCACCGACTCCGTTCTGTAGGGAAGGCAGACAGCAAAGCCATCAGCAGATGATATTAAAGGTCTCTGATCTCACCCATTGACACCTCAGCCTTGGACTGTGGCTAAATTATTTTTGTCTTTAAAAGGTCGCATCTGGAAAGGCAGGAGCCTCGAAGCAAAGGGGCACAAGCAGACTGCCCAAGCTCCATGGAAAGCCTGCTCATTTGCAAGGCTGAGCCACAGCAGCCCCCCAGGAGGGAGAAGCAAATTGGTCTCCAGTGTATTTGGAGAACTGGAGAGAGCCAAGCACAACCTCACCCCACAGGGAGTCTCACCCAAGGGATGACCAGCTTTGTGCTTCTCCCTGCTACCTTCAACTTCAATGAAGTTTGTTTCTTCCATCATGTCCCATCGGAACCGGGCAGCTCCCTCCACAGGAGGACTGTATGAAACATCTAAGCTAGGTAAAATGTCACCAAATCTACCTCAAGCTCCTCAATTAAAGGACAACCTGAAGGGAAGAGCTGAGGCTGCAAGGCTAGGTCAGATTCTGACCCACATTCCCATGACAGGAGCACCTCCTCCGACATCACTTTGTGCCTGATCTAGCTGGGAGCCCTTCTCCACACCTGGAGCCCTTGATCTCTACAGCCTCCAAGCCCAAGACACAGGGCAGAGCAAGAGGACAATCACCACCAATACTGGAGGCATACAGACAGTTTTCCCCAGCAGGCTGTGCAAGGTCTGCTGTAGGAGAGGACACCAGGTTCTTGGCATTCATCAGTGGTGACAGTGAAGTTTTAGGAGGCCACACTCTGCACCTTCATTTCCCTCCATGCCCCTGTCCTTGGGCCTGGACCAGGGTGGCTCTCGGGCAGGGATGCAGAGCCCTGCAATGCAGAGAGGGCACCAGTCCACTGGTACATGGCCTTGGCTAAAGCCACCACCCGATTTAGGTCTGGAGACTTTGATCCCAATATGGTTTTGGTCAAGCTTATCCCCAAAGCCTTATCCTGAGTACTAATTCAGCTGAAAACAAGTGGATTAAAGGAGGAAGGAGTAAGAGCCCTGGCTGGAAGTTTAAGCTGGTTTCCATGTACCTTTGGGGCACCATGCAGAACACTGTGCCAGGCCTAGGGTTTAACCCTTCCCTGACTGTATGGTGGAAAGCCCAGGTCTCTGTGTGTTTACTCAGGTAGGGTGGGGATGTAGGAGTTTGAAGTGAACACCACCACAACTACCCCTTCCAAACAGAATTTAAAAATGGAGCTGTGCCTCCCAGCTTTCAGAGATGTGGCTGAAGGAAGCAGTCAGAAATGTCTTGAGAAAACCTATATACTTCCCCTAGTTTCCTAAAGCCTGGTTCAAATCCGGGTGCCATCATGCTCCAAAGCGGCACGACAGGGAAGGTCCAGAGGAGTTGCCCATGTCTGTTTGGGACCATCACTGCACAGAATGTGCACAACAGGGGCAGTAGGATCCTCCAGGATGGATGTGAGACATGGTGGGTCCAAACAGGACATGGGGACCTCGGAGTGGTGGTACTGCAGCCAGGATGTGCCATACCAGCAGAGGAGAAGAAAAGCCTGGCATGCAGGGATGACAGAAGTCCCAGGTTGACCATGCAGCCCTACAAGAGCAGCTTAATGTGCCTGTCTCTGCACCACAGCCTGGTCTCACTGTTTTAAGATTAAAATTCACCTTAGCCTGTCCTTTATTTCTAAAGTGGCTTTTCCTCCCTTTAAAGTAAAAATGCCAGCCAGCCCCTCAGCCCTCTCCAGTTAGGCTTCTTCAGCTTACCCCCCATTAATCATCAGATCAGCCACATGCAAACGCAGATGCTCCTGAAAGCACAAGCAATACTAATAACCTCAGGGACGAGGCTGCATTCCTGTGCCACCAGGGAAATGGATACAAACAGGCTGATTCAAGAAACATAAACCAGAAGGAACCCAAACTTCAGAGCCTTCAGAGCAAAAGGAGTCCCACTGCCCAATGCCATCACTGCCCAACAGCGATGCCATCCCTAGCAGATGGGCCAGGAGCAGCTCCCAGTGTCCAGATGGCTGGCTTAGGAAATCCACTTTCCCAGAGTTTATTCAAGCTGATTCAGGGTTGTATGGTCCCTTCCAAGCCTTTCCCTCATGCTAATGGGCTTCGCCCTTTCTGCCCTCCCTGGAAGAGCACAGCCCTCCTTAAACCCTTAGGGGATGGCAACACCTGAGCCTCCAGGGAGGGGAGCCCCTCTGGGAAACGTTAGTCTATCCATGGGAATTAAAAAAGAGAGAAGGAAAGGGATGTGGGAAGAAAACCAAGGGAGAGGTGGACCAAAGCTATTCAGCAGACATCCTCCCCAGCTGCAGCCCAGGTCCTTTGCTGACAAGCCTGTACCACTCATCTGAAGTATCACCACCCAGGCTCTGGCAGATGTTTGTCTTTATCCACACTAGAGCCAGATGCCACAGCAACAGGGGGATTATCCAATAACCAAATAAATAACTAACAGCTCTCCTCAGCCAGATCATGTTAATCCAGCTGCCCTGGGCGGCAAGCACACTCTCACAGCCAACAGCAGGGCTAGGCAGAAGCACAGCCCTTAGCACGGCTCTTCACATACTGGCTGCAGGGGGAACAAAGTCTCTTCATGAAGTATTGCTCAGGGAGGCACAAGCAAGGCACCGACCAGGGGAGCTCATCCTGTCCTGAGCCTCCTGCAGCTCCACCTGCGATGGGCCCTCGAGCTCTGGAGCTTGGGACTGAGAGTCCTCGGGCCGCCAGCTCTCGCCACGCTGGCATGGGCTGGGCTCCCAGCCCCCCTGCACTGCCTTCTCTTTATATTTTATTGATCTACTTCATTCTGGAGTTTTGCTCCAATGGCTTTCATGATGCTCTGAGAGATCCAGGAGCTGGAAATGCAGTTTAAATATTTCAGTGAAGCCTGTTGTTGTGGAGGGGCAGCGAGAAGGCAAGAGCCTAAGAAAGCACTCAAAGAACAGAGATGGGGGACAGGGGTCAGCACCTCCAAAATCCATCCCTCTCCTGGCCAGTCACAGGTCTGCACAGCACCCCCTCCCCAGCACAATGCTAAACAGGTGCTTTGAGAAATTAAGGGCACCCTTGTAATGTGACAAATGAAGCAGAAGGCGTAAGAAAGCAATGTGCCTACAGAGACCAGACAAGGGAAGGTAGCAGGC